AGGGAAGGGAAGGGAAGGGAAGGGAAGGGAAGGGAAGGGAAGGGAAGGGAAGGGAAGGGAAGGGAAGGCAGCATTCCTTCATCTACCTTTCCAATAACATTTGGAAAGGTTGGTTTGATACTTGAATTCTTTGCTGTTTTCTCAGAATTAAAATAAACAAACAAATTCTAACACTCCCCCTTAAATTTCTTTGAACTTATGCATAGAACATTTCCCAGAGCAGAAATATGCCTCTCATTTACTGAGATTTAGAATTTATATTCTGGGAAGGTATATAATTCTATACTAAGCATTCCTTCAGGCTCTTTAAAAGTGTTTAATTGGCAAGATGGACAATGAAGAACAGAAAAAGCCAAAGGGCTTTATTAATTAGTGCACCATATGTCTTTGTAGACCATGCAACATTTGCCCCACCTCAGAATTTGATTCAGGGCACTATAGCACCTTGATATAAGAAGAGCAGAAAAAATTTATATAGCTATTAAAATGTCAACTAAAAGAAATTCCAGTAAGGCCATGCACATGAGAACTTTGTGGTCAGGTTGTCTTACCACACATCTATCTTTGATGGTACACTTGTGCTGAATGAGATTGAAAAGAAATTTTCAGCCAATTTTTTTTGGTGTTGGGCATTGTAGCATCTGGCCAGTTCAAGGGCTTACAGATAGCAATATAAAGTTGAGGATTCTGAATTAATGCAAGTCAGTACAAGCAGCTCATATAGGTAAGACATGGGGAAAAGAAAGAAATAAGGAAGTTGTACCATGATTTTTTTTCCCCCACAGAATAAAGAATTGTTCAGGTGAGCCTATATACAGAGCATATGACATGTTGCAAAATCATGCATGGGGTCGGGGACAGGGCATGTGTGACATCACATCATGTCTGAATCACATCACCAGTGTTTTGAAGAGCTGATGCTAGTTTATCGGCTATGTTGCTACATAATGTCATGATTATACCATGCAAAACACTGAGCTCTGGGAGAGCAAAGTCTGTTATTGTGCAATGTTCATCTGTTGCACTGCAGCGATGTTTCAGCGAGGATCTGGAACTTCATGCTGGAGGAACAGCAGCACAGAATTTAACCACCAATTTCCTAAGCACTATAAAAACTAAAGCATATCTGTCAGTGTCTGTGGCTGTGGAGCAGCCAGCGTAATATACTAAGAGACATAAAGAGCTGTCAGACTTCTAATCTGTAAAGCTGATGAACTGTATAAGGCTCAATATTAAAAAAAGAGATCTCTCTCCCAGTCTTTCGCAGCTGATATAAAATCTCATTTTGTCAGATGGTTAACTACAAAGATCAAATTAATCTCTCAGTAATTAATGATACCTTTGTTCTGCAAAGCATCTGGATAGTAAACTCTCTTTTTATATAAAGGTAACTACATGTCTCTTCCTCAGTGCAGTTGCTAGTAAAATTGTTAGGGCTCCCCCACAGTAAAGTATATCAGGTCCCTTCTAAAACAGCAGGCAAACCCTAGGATTGCAGCACCCTTCAAGATCCTTTCCCAATGCTTCACAGCTACTTTATTTTGCGCCCATTTCTCCTGCAATTCTCCAGCTCTCTGAATTGTCCAACAATTTCACCTATTCACCTCTCAGAATACCCCTTTCCTTTTCACATCAAGAAAAACAAAAACTACAGAAGGTGCACATATAAATAGTCTCAAATTAAAATAGGTTGCAATCAGTTCAAGCAAATCTGCCATTAATGTAATTGTTCAGAGTTAGATCTCCCTATCAGATTCCTCTTCTGTCTTATTATCCTTCAGCCATCTATTTATCCTCTCATACTCATACAGACAACCATAGCTCCAACAGACAGGTAACAGCCGTGAGATTAAATAAAAGTCTCTCAGTAAGATATATTAATATTTCCAAGATGAAGTGACACACTGGATATGGATGTCATTTCTGTGATAATAGCACTGTTCTTAATCACTGATGGCTAAATGGTGTTTTTGATAAGCAGGCCTTGAAGTGAATAGAAGCTATTTCTGTGTTATTGCCTGGACTTCATTTTTACTGCATTTAATCTATGACAGTAGCTTTATAGGATTGCTGCTACTGTCATCTCCTTTGTTCATATCATTTTGTTTCTTCTTTCTGTAGAAGAACAAGTTAAACAAGTCTGTTCTTCACTGTAAATCGGGGAGCTGGTCTCTCCTTGACTTCAGATGCCTTTGAGTATAACCCTTTGAGCATAGCGTACCAGTGTAAATTGCCCACAGACTTTTCCTGTATCTCAAGTGTGCTCTGCAGCCATTGTCAGCTCCCACGCTCTAACTCACGCCAGCTCTTCCACGTTTCTACAGAGTAGCAGATGAAAGCTGCAACTCACTTGAAAATGACATTCTTCAGATAATTGTTGTTATTGTTAGATCGAATCCTTTCTTCCTGCTTCCTATACCTTTAGAGTCATTTAGAATTGTTAGGTTCTCTGCTAATCTTATATAAAATAGGTATCACAGGTGCATGTATTCAGCTCTTCAATAATTTAACAATTTAGAAAAGGTTTTGGCTGCTAAATTATTGTAGAACTATATATAGCACATAGAGAATACTCTTTTGTAACTATAAAGAAAAGATACATATTTTTATGGGTATGTGCATTCCTCAAACAGCTAATAAAAATCTGCCATTTGAGTTAAAAAATTTGTAACTTTATTGTTCCTCCAGTGAAAATTTGTATTTTTTAGGTAGTTGTTTTAAGTATCTGGATATGTTACAATATTATACTGTTATATCACTCAAAAGACAGCACATTATGTCCCAATGTAGGTAGAGAATAACTGAGTGCTATTCAAAGACATAATGTTAGTTTATGAGAATCAGTTGTTGCTAGAAGAGTCTTGTGTAAAAAACTGTGCAGAACATAAAGTATTTGAGGTAAAAACATGAAAAAACCCAGTAGTAGCAGTGATGTTAAAATCTTAAGGATAGAAACTGCAGTGTTAAGTATCCTCTAAATACAAGACAGAGTG